AGAAAAATTTGTCCATTTATAAAGGGGCATAACTGGAGAAAGGTGATAGTGACACCACCCAAATTCGAACTTGATCAGTATTTGGTGGCCATGGTATTAAGCATTGTGTATAAGTTTCATAACATTTGGTTGAAGCAAACTAAAGTTAGAGTGCAGAAACGGCACATTTAACAATTTTTCCATTTATAAAGGGACATAATTGGAGAACGGTGAAAATGACCCTACCCAAATTCAAACTTGATCTTTTTTTGGTGGTAATAAGCATTGTGTATAAGTTTCATAACATTTGGCATGTTTGGTTAGAGAACGGAAACTAATTTTGGGACATAAGGGAAGGACGTATGTACAGAAGGACAAGGGTAAAACTTAATACCACCTCCGCTACTACGGGGGCATAAAATGAAATGATAGAGTGTATATTTGTTTTATTGTTATATTTTTCATGCATTCCCATTTGTTAAAGAGGCAGTATCTACGGTTTCCACAAAAAAGTTGCTTGACAATTTTTTTTCAAGAATATAGTAAGTTTTATATATAAAATACGAATGAAAGCCATGTTGCTGCAAATCTTAACGTTCTTATCACGATAATTTACTTTTTATCAAAAAGTTGAATATTTATCGGTCCGACAAAAACTCATTTCAAAACCTACCACATATTCATATAACCCTGGTTTAAGTCAGTTGTGTTGTATGTCTGTGATGTATGTTTAAACAGTTTTGGTTGCTGGATCCCAATTATTGTCACATAAACCTATTATGTCTGTCTGGGTTGCTCACCTAATTTTGTCAATAAACATGATATAATGGAACTATAAACAACTGTAATACAAGTGGGAGATTTAGCTATCTATAAAACCAGGTTTAACCCACAAGGTATTGCTTGTGACATGAGTATACATTCTTGCATAATGAATGTGCTCTGGTTTAACAGATGACAAACAATTAGGGTTTTATTTCTTCACTACATATACATGTACATTCATTAGAGTCCTGATAATTACATGGAACATATTTTTCCATTCATATCTATAAATTATCACATTTTCACAGCTTTTCAGTTTCATGACTTTCGTAGATACTGTCTCATTAATGAAACTTAGTCATAACCGTTGTAAAATGAGTTGGTGTAACCGGTATTAATAATTTTCTTTTAGAATGGATTAAAACTATCTTTCTTCCACGTTCCTTAACCTTTTTTTCGTCACAGATTTTCCCTCTCACTTGCGCAATTGATGATCGAATTTATAACAAAAGACATCATAGTCAAGGTAAGGTCGTCGCATACAGGAAAGTTGGGGAGGAGGGTGTTACAGTTTGAGATGACAACAATTCAGTAGCAGTATTTCTGAAAATTTTGATAAAAGAAAGGACATTCTTTTAAAAGAAAGTCTACGTACACATGTTTTATAGTAAAACTTTGCTATAATATCAAACGTTTTTCTTTAATGATCTTTAATTTGAAGTATATATCATATATTATAATATATAGGATTTTAAATATCGAATTTGAAAATATAATATATTCTCTAATTAACATACATGTACATGAATCTGAACTTAATATCTTTTTCAAGAAATTAAATGATTTTAAAAATAAAAGCACACTATGAACAATAATTATAGTAGGATTGATTAATGATTCCCTACGAAATGTAGATAGAAAAAATTCTAATATACTCATAAGTAAAATCTGAAAAATTTGATAAAATCAAACACTTAACATGCTTAATAGATATATGGATACACTTAAACCTCCAAAGGATACAAAAAAATCCAGTCCAGTCTAGCATTGTCTAGTCGAACTGGCATGTTCTTTATTAAAAAAGTTTTGTTTTAAAAGTAAAGTTGTGTGACATTAGACATATTCTTATTAAATGCACTGACCATTAACATGATTAAGCAGTTTCCATACAATTACAATATGTCTCAACTGATATTAGTATTCTTGATGTGCAAGACTATGAGTACAATATAAGCTAAATTGTACAAAAATATAGTAAAAAGATCTAAAAAAATGACTCAAGTCTCTGTGAGGGACTCCCTCAAATCAGAAATAAAGAAGTGTAGCATTAAGTGTGTAAAATTTAAGCAAAAAACAGAAAAATGCCAAACGTGATTTAGAATCAAAATTAAAATCAATATTGGAAAAATAAAACAATGAGGAAAATGATTTAATAAAAGAAAAAATATCCATAATAGAAACATATACATTTGTAAGTTTGTGACAAAGTACAAAACAAATGGATGAATAAAGTTTGTTTAATGAATGAATTAAGATTTTATTTAAAACATAGAATCACCAAATTCGATTTTACATCATGTACATTAAACCAATTATTTTGGGTATGGCACTTCATTTGCAAATGTAGCAATTTAAAATTGTACATAGTACATGTAGTTTAAAGGATACTTTTAACTCATTCGCCCCCAAGAGATTTCTGGAAAATCAGGCATTTTCGAAAATTTGCAATCACATGCAAATTATATGCAAATTAGCAGACTCTTGATGCTGTAACTGATGCTCATCTATTAAACTATGTATTGAGATTTGCGGGCGGATGGCATGGGTGGGGGGTGGGGTGTGAGGTGGAATATTTTCTCGTGGGTTTGAACCCACCCCCACTGAAAAATGTTAATTTTCCGTCTATTTTCCGATTTTAAAACGACCTTGAGAGGTAAACATTGACCAGACTGTTTTTCTTTGTCATTCAAGTATTACCCTATAGTTACAGCAGTCCATTCATGCTAACTGGGAGTATATTGGACTTAAGTGTCTTGCTGGGGAATTATTATTGTCAAGTCAGGTCTGCCTAAATGTCCGTTTTTACGGATTTTTGACAAAACGGTGACCTAGATTTTACGGACTAGATTCCTATTGGCCATATTATACCTCGTTGTGTTCCTGTACCACCTATGCATGCATTTATGATAATAGTTTATACCTACAGTCACTACCAGTTACGTAGTGGCTATCAAAAGATGCCCACCCCCACCTGATTTTGGCTACTTTTCACGTTTTTCCGATTTTGAACTCTTAAACGGCTTTCAAAGTGCCATATTTTCATGAACAGACATCTGAGAAGAGTTTATGGACCATGAACTGCTTGGTTGAAGTCCCTGCTATCATGACAGTTCAGCTGGGGCAGTTCAAAAAAGGTATGGAGGGTCATACGGGCCATCAAAGAATGGTTGTCGCCATCACGCCTACAGGCTATTAATTTAACAGATTTACTTATATAAGTATATTATTATTTACTTCTTCAAAGTAAATAAAAATAACTTGTACAAGTAGTACCCCTGACTGCCTTAAGAAATCAATGGTCGTGTATCAAGCATTAGTGTAAAGAATGGCACATGTGGCATGAATGGTAGGTCCTTGACTTTTGTAATTTAAAAATAAAAAGTCCTCTCCTAGAAAAGACAGGTCTTGGACCTCGGACCCACACTAATTTGAACCCCTGTAATCTATTGAGATGTCAAAATTTTCGGGAAACTTTTTGATGTCCAGTAATGGCGGACAATAGTGATAAGGTGTAATTTCTGAATGAGTTACACCGGTTACACAGAGGTCAATCATTGTAAATTACGTCATTGAACTAATATGGACTCTCACTGTGACCTAGTCCGAGATTACTCTGATGTCCAACGGCTGTTTTGCCAGACAAGCTGGTCCCACGGCCCCAGCTTGTCTGGCAAAACAGCCGTTGGACGTCAGAAAATCTCGGACTAACTGTGACCTAATAGCATTAGCATTTTGACACAGGAAATGTATGGGGAAATGCACCAATACAGTAAAGAGCTTACCATAGCAACTATGGGTGTCAAGTCATAAAAAAATTAATGTAAACAATAATATCTCATCCCTATCAAAGATAAACAATGGTATCTAAAGACCATTAAATGAAGATATCTATAATACAAAAATCACCTAACTATTATCAAATGTCGTACTTTCTTCATTGCAAGTTCACTCCAATGAAAGTTTATAATAGACATATTTACACTTGTATGCAAATTTGTCCACCATTACTTAAAATCACACAAGTTCCCGTTAAATTTGACGTCATAATTAAAAAATGATTGTTGCTTGACGTCAGGAGGTATTCGGAGACAGCTCTATCTAAGGTCATTCGGAGACAAAATTCAGCTTAATACCAAAAGTGTAAATACGTTTATACACATGTAATTATCAGGTTGGGAACAACCCCGGAATGAGGTATATCCCTTAAATGAGGGACTGTCCCTAAGACAAGGGGTTATTTTGCCTTTGTAGAAAAGAATAAAGAAAAATTTAGCCTTTTTAACTGAAAAGTGGGAAAATTTATTATATTTGGAACAACTTTTCTAAACGCTTTTCAAAAATAAAGAAGATTGAAGTCCATGAATATTCCAAAATTCATGGACATGTGTTATCAATATAATACAAGATAGATGTATTGTTCTTTGGGCAAAGTTTCTGCAAATGATATAACCATGTGCCCTTTTCCACAAGTTCAGAAGTGGTTTAAACAAACAAATTAGTACTTGAATTCTACCCCTCATAAAAGGGATAGTCATTACATACTATATTAGGTCCCAAGCAGCGAGTACAAATAAATTTTATATTTTCCGACAATGTACATATATTGTTTTTATCCTGAAATTTACACCCAACACTTGAAACTTTAGTTGTTAAAATCTAAATCATTGTCTCTAATTTTTCAAAGAAATCGACATAGTTTAAACGCGGACCGCGAAGAGGACCCCAAAATGAACTGGTACGCAAAAAAAAATATCCACATTACCGCTTGCTCAACATGGAAGAGGGGTAACAGGAGACTTTTATTTGTACAAGTACAAGTACAAATAAAGCAAAAAAATATTTGTGTACCTGTTATTTGTACAATAGTTGGCTGATTGCAGGATAAAATACTGTTTAAATCAATAGCCTTAATAATGCTTATGATCGATTGATTAACGTTGCAGCTCCTATAATGAAATGTATCTTATCAATATTACCATATGTTATAGCTGAGTAGTACACTTTTAAAAATACACAGCTGATACAACGTTGGAGAGTTATGATATATCCAATGTTGATATGTTAAATGTATTTCCGGTTATTAAAGGGGCGAATAACACGGGGGACTGAAACGACTGACTTTATTCTTTCTAATGTCTGTTCGTCACATACAATTTCGTCCCATATTTATGTTCATGGTCTTCGAATGTCATCCCGATTGTTAAGTGGATGCCTTCTAATCTAAAATGCGGACCAAATGCTGATATATAACAAGTCAATGCATTCTTTTGAACGTTTTGTGATTTGGTTAATATACGTTTTAGTATGTGATCAATAAAATATGAAAACTTTTAAAGTCAAATCGGTGATCATGATTTTGACAGCTTTAGAAAGCAAAGTATAAATAGACTATTATACAATAACAGAGGGTCTGGATGATTTTTACAGAACAGAGAAATATTATGGGCAAAAAGTGCAGAATTAATGACGACGGCAACGTACTGCCATCCATAACATTTACCAAAAATGCCTCGTCCAGTCGCACATTACTTAATATTGTAAGAGACATGTCTCTGGTATTGTGTGTTCGCAAAAATGATCAGATAAGGCAAATATTTCTATTTGCATAAGGTTTGGTTGTTTAAAAACTCTATCACTTGTTAACACACTATTCCGACCGTCTTTGATTGGGATATTTTCTCATAGAATTGCAGGATTAAAGAATCCAAAGCTTACCGGTCTTTACCGTTTAACTCATAATGTCGCTCATCTATTCACCCCTTATATATTTCGTTAACAACATGCAAAGATAGCTTTAGGCGAAAAAATGTTGCATTGAATGACAACACAAACAAATATGCCTATATTAATTATATGATCTGTGATTAATTATCAAAATCATGACAAATGTGATAAAAACCAGGACAAAAGGAACATTTAACCGAAACATGTCAATTGCTTCTGTAACCAAACCATGTCAATTTTCGATATTATGCCTTACATGTGTTATACTTTTTAACAGCCACCATTCAATATTGATAATTTGATTTCAAAACATTGAATTAACATCTTATTATCTTTTGTAGAGAACTATGACAATTGTTCGCGACTAACCTACCAAAATCTTGATCAAATGAACTAAATCATGACAAAATCACTGTTAGTTACTAAATGCTCCTTGATATGATGACTTCACTACTCGCGTACTTACTAATCTGTTACGTTTTAAATCCAAACAGAATATTTAGCTATTATCGTTTTATTATCAAAGCTGTAGCAGGAAAGTTATTGCCTGTTAAAGCTTAAGTGCAATGAATTTATTATCAAGAAAAAAAATCGTGTTGATCTCATAAAGAAGAATGAAACGAGATTACCATTCATCTTTGAATATACATACAGCTATTATAATGATGTTATTTATTAAATAATTCAAAAGTTTGAATATTGTGTTGATCTCATTTATCGGATCATGAAATAAAAGATTTTACAGATACATTTAGTTCTGATTGTTTTCTATAAATTTGCAGTATTAAATTTAAAATGACGGTCTACTGATAATAAAAATGTAAGACAAAAGAGACAACTGACGTTTTCCTTTATGAACTTTCCATTTTTTGTAGCAACATTCCTGCTCTTGAAAACCTACACATGAAGTTTTTATCACACCTATATATTTCAGAGACGTCAATTGGTCGTGTTTATTCAATGCTCGTCGTGTTCAATGGTCTCATTCTTGATATTGCCTGATATAAGAAGACATCCATCACATTTCAAAGTATACCCATGTTGTTTTTTAAATACGTGTATCATAACAACGGTTGGCTAAAATTATCACTGAGCCCGACAGTAACCTTATATACATCTATATATAGTCTATATATACTATATTAGGTCACTGACGGTCTGTTTTTATAGTATATATAACATCTCTTAGTTGATACGATATAAAAAGGTTTGCGTTCCATTAATTTCAATTCAAGCTTTCCAATTAGGTTCCAAAACTGTCGATGTTTTAGAGAGCCGCAATGGCCAGTCCTGAACCTGAACTTTTATCGATAGTGTTCAAACAGGAAGGAGATGGAACAGAAGTATTCTTAGCCGGAAGTTTTAATGCATGGAACCTATTTCCGTTTGACCAGAGGTTTGAATATTGTATATCTTATCAACATCTTTTTTATAGATTAGTATGTGTCTAGAGAAGCCTCTATACACTACGTTTACAAATACTATTGAATTTATCGACAAATATAATACAGGGCAAAGATTAAGTTATATAAGTTTTTTTGTAAACCAATTCAAGCGAACATGAATAGGATTTTCTTTTTGCAAGTGTTTTGATGCAGTTCACTCCGTATTACTGTAAAATTTTCGTGATTTTTTGATTGGCGAAGAAAGGATTATTGGAACCGGATGTATACGAATTAAACATCTGGTGAAAATACACGATAATAGTAGGAACAGCGCTTTAATTGATGTTCTTCATCTTTATATCTAGGTGTGCTTTAAAATCTGATGATTTGTCGGCATAAATCGCGTTTAAACATATAGTTGAAAGTGGACGAATGGTATACAAAAACGGCAGAAATTTCAAAGTTATACATTTTATAATGGAGAGTCGGGTAGGGTAGAACAATTTAGCCTCAGCTCAGCAAAGGCACCTGAATTATCCTATTCTTAGATAAATGATGCTGGAAGGATTTTTCGTGCTATAAGCGTGGACGTCTCCGAACAAAGGTTGGAATCATAATAGATAGATCCACTAAACAGCGGATGTCGCTTTATGGGGTCTTTCCTGTCATTCAGAGAAGAAACTATTTACTGCCTCGGAAGGTGTCTGTGGAAATGTTCAGAAAGTGATTACTCCTATCATTAATATCATATTTGTATTGTTTATCTGTTTCTGTCATAATGATTTCGTAGCCATAGTAGAATTACCAAAAGGCGAACACCAGTAAAATATTGTTGTCGATGGAGATGATGGAGAAGGCAACATAATCCATCAAAGGTAGTATGGTCTAATCTTGACATCTTTATAAAAAAAAGAAGATGTGGTATAATTGCCAATAAGACAACTATCAACTAGAGACCAACAGACGCTGATGTTTACAAATAGATCACTGTACACATGCAGCCTTCAACTACACATTTTAAAACATCCAGTTGTCATAAATCTCTCAAAATTGCCAAATCAGCTTTAAATGTCAGTTCGAGATTGTACAAAACCCCGATAATTTATGGTGTACCATTTGGTTCAAAAGGTATTTTTATCGGTTAACCGCTACTTTTATCGGTAAACCGCTATTTGTATCGGTTAACCGCTACTTATATGTCGGTTAACCACTAATTTTATCGGTTAACCGCTATTTTTATCGGTTAACCGCTAATTTTATCGGCTAACCGCTAGTTTAATTGCTTAATCAATTCTAATTATCGTCTTTGCACAAAATAACTTATTATTTTAAATGAGTAAGTGATTGATGGACACAGATTATCGCTAAACCTGGTAATACAGTAATGTGGATTGCTTACGCCTACCATATATTTATTTTTGGTTCAATCACTCCCACCCAAGTTATAGAATTGTAAATTGACAAACGCACACAAGTTTCTAGTGTTGAACACGTGACAATTCTTTATAGCACATAACACTTTATTGTACATCAGCAATTTTTATTTTATTTTACACTTCTAATATTACAAAATGTATTGGAATTTATGGATTAATATAAAGTTTTAAATTCCAAAACTTAGTGTAAAAACATGAAAATGCTCATTTATCAAATAGAGGTACTTGTATAAATTCCACTCCTACAAATCTTTATAAATGATAATTCGATTGATGATACCGTGTGTAATGAAGACGAGAAATGTAATCTTCTAACATGCACATATATTTGTCTTATTTCCAAATAAGAAAAGGAAAACTGTCCTCTTCCATATTTCTCACACAGACATGAAACGATATCTATGATACATTTTCTATATTATTGAATTAAATTAACACTAAATGCTTTCATACAATAATTTTTAAATAAGCACTTGAAGAATGTACCTTTCGTTAAAATTGTATTATTGCAAATGTTATTGAAATTTGAAAAAGGTAGTTTTAGCATCCACTTTCCGATTTATGTCCGATATATGTTACAAGTTGTGGTGGTATAAAGTAATGGAGAGAGTTATATAATAAGAAAGTATAACTTTATTTAATAACGAGAAACAAAATTTTATGAATGTTCGTCAAAATTCCGCCTAAAATGACAAACTGTGCATCAACTCATAACAACGTATATAACTGCTTCTTTTTTTTTAAAGCAGTTGTAATTAACATTTAGCTACTTCGATTTTTTGTGTTTTTTGTGTGACTTTCCTTAGTTATTTGATAACGTTGGATATAGATTCTTCAATAAAAAAGAAATGAAAGAATATGGAGTTTAATGTAACTTGTTAAATAGTTTATGAGCTACCTACAAAGGAGCCATCAAAGAGCGAAAATAGAAAATAAACCATCTGTATTTGGTCATTTCCCGCTGAAGTCTTTCAAGAATACTTAGACTAATTTATTCCATATACAATGTATATATTTAAACTAATGATATATTTGATTAACTTATTTTCTTAGTAGACATTTTGCTGATGATGTTTGGACCAGCAGCTCGGTCTTAATACTATGACCGGACAATTTGGACTGTGCAATGAAATTAGTTTTTAAACAACATTTTATGAATTCAATTGTTTTAATGTATATTCTTGTTTTGCATTTATTTTATTATTCTGAACTTTGTCGTAAATTAGGCATAAGTGTTTTACACGGATTATGTGTCATAATCTTGGACAAAGGACTTAAATTCATTTACTCTATTCATTTAATTATTTATTCTCTGTAACAGTTTAGACAATACTTTACTTATACGTGTCGGACATTAACTACTCTTCTAATCTATTGTTATTTCTATTTGGCATATGTTAATCTTCTTAATCCTTTAATTGCTTGTGCTTATATATATTCTTATTGTTTGTATGTTACTTCACATTTGGTTTGGAGTTTGTTGTTCGGTCTTGCCGGACTGCTAAAATAAAAGTTTGAGGAGCGAAATA